TGAGTTTCTAATTTGTACAAAACTATAGACTTAGTACTTTGACATCACAAACATCTAATCTGAACCAGTGCTGCATTCAACAACTACGTGACATTCAAAAATCGGTGTTTAATTGTGTTTTTTAATATTTACTTTTAAATTAAGAAATTGAATAATGTATAATACTAACATTTAAATTATAATCTACAGTTTGATACCAAACTTATAGACAAATTCATGAAATAGTAGTTCAATACAATTTTGAATGCGAGTCAACAAACGCAATGCATGGCCATTTGGAAAGGGTTAAGCAATACCAGCTCACCATTATGTTTTTTTCTTAAGCTAGACTTTTAAGTAACAAATATTTCTTTTAGTCATATTTGTATACTCATAACTACGATATATATTAGGGTGGTTCTTATTTACAGGTAAAGTTTCGGGTTAAAAATTCAAAAGCTCTCACTTCCTAATTGTGTTTCAGTGAACAAAAATAAGCACATTAAATGTGAAACTTCCTTCAATTGTAGACCATATTTAGAGGTTGCTTAGTAAGATTAAATTTCTAGACTGCAGTAGCCTAATACTGTATGTAATATGTAATACAAAAATTACTTATGTATTATAAGTATTAATATCATTATGCATTATTTTTGTATAATTACACAGTTATATTATTTTGGTGTGTTTAGTCACTTTTGCATTGTTATTGTTTCCTTGTTGCATTTCCTAAAGTGTCTTCTTTTGGTCATGCACAACTTGAGGGAGTTGTTTCTGTTCTTCATTCTTTGTTATGATGACCTTATACTACTTAATAAGGGTTGCACCCCTTTCAACATTGTCATTTACCACATTCAAGTGTTGAAATGTATATAGTTTCTTCATATAGTCCTCTCTGAGCTCCCACGAGGTCATAATACAGAAATCCAAATGGAAGTTCCAGGCATTCAAAGAAATTTTTGTGTTCTTTGTGATGAAATCTTCAGTTGATATGTCCTCAGACTTTCTGATATTCAGTTGGATGCACTATAGAGGTTCATCTGTGCCTTCCTTCTCATCTTCTCATTTAGTATCTTTACCATTGCTCATTTTTTATTTTTGGATACAGCTGAATTAGAGAATGCCAAACCAGTAAGCTCCTTATTGAGATACCATAGATGTCCAGCAAATTTTTTTCACAGGCAAAATTTTAAAGAACAGAATTCACTTTCTTAAACTTAACAAGACATTGTATGAAGTTAACCCTTTCACAACGGATACTCTTTTAAATCCCTTTCTATGCAAGTGACTAAATTACATTCAAAAGTTAATTAAGCAACTTTACTATTAATGTATGTTATAAATCAAAGTTTTATGTTATCTAAGTTTGATTTCTTTGTTTAAAAAGAAACCTGTAAAAAAATACTTGAATTTTAGTTATGTTGTCACATGACCCATGAGCTCTGAAAAATCTTCAATCTTGAATCAGATAACCCCAGTCCAGTAGTTGTACATCTAGACAGTAAGTACGCTTACTTGCTTTATTGACAGATATGTTTCAAAGTTCTTTTGCTGAATTCTGTTGAAATTAGAAATAAATTTCAACAACCTCTGACAGGTGCCAAGCCCACCTTTTATACACAGTCTTGAAATTTACAAGTGACATGTACTTATTTTCTGTACGTGTTTATAATCTTTAAAAAGAGCTCATTTTACACTATAATCCAATGATAGTTATTTTTAAGTTGGCACTTGGTTTTTGTCATCAGGTAGATATAACTGCCTGTAGTATTGTTAGCTGCTTTGTCCAAGATAGCACTTATAGTTGGTGCATACCTAAGTATGTTAAAATTAGAGAGAGAGTTAAATTGCTTTTAGGTTTTACTTTTATATCTTAATTAATTATGTATTGTTTATATTTTAAGATGCATAATTGAAAAGTTTAAACATTTTTTAAATTTATCTCAAAAATTGCCCCAGTTCTCAAGGCTTATTATTTTACCCGAGTGTAAGATAACTTTGCCAAAGGCTTACACTTCTCTGCCTAAGATACTGTAATACTCCCTGAGGGCACCTTTGACTTGTGTCAAGATGAATAATAAGTGGCTAAGGACAGGGAAGAAAAATAAAATATAAAAAATTAAGTATATGTGAAAAGTAAAAACCTGAAATTACAAATATCACCAAAAGAAGCTCTTTTAAGATATTCTACGAAAAATTAGAAGGTATGTACATTTTTCTATTTCTTAATTTTAAACATTTTATTGCACTTTATATTGATAATATCTACAGTTAGTGATATAATAAAAAAATGAAAAATAAAATTAAACGTGTACAAGATAGATACTAATTGCTTTCAGTATGGATAAAACTTGGTTTGAATTACATATTTATATATTGGAACAAAATGGGGGGGTGAGAGTGTTGTAAATCAAAACTTCCAAAATAAGGATCACCCTAATATATATCCATCTATATCTACACAAGGTTCTCCTGAACTTTTGACAAAAGAGGCCCAAATAAAGATTGAATAGGCTCAAATGGGAGGGGGGGGGGGGGTCAAGGGGACTGTCTATACTCATTGGTAGTTCAGTTAAGAATCCTGGTAGGGGATGCGGGTGGCACATCTACCACACAAAAACGGTTTTTAGCAATTTCAAGGGATTAAGAAAACCTCTCATAGAGTCTTTTATTCTATTTTGAAATGTCTAGTATAAACTCAAATACAATCAATATATTCATAATCTAGTCTAAACTTTTAGAAAAGTTATCAATTTAAAACTTGAGTAATTAGTATTTGTCCAAAAAATGACACTGCTACACTGTCAAACACTCAAAAGTTAGACTTCCTCCATTAAAATTTTTGCTAACGTTATTTCTTCACCTCACAAATTCTAAATATTTATCTACCTTAGCATCATAGTCATGAATTCAACTCTTAAAAACTACAACTTCTACAAATAAGTAAATAACAGCTGGTGGAAAATGTTTTCAGATTGAAACGTTGTTCACATATTTGCCTTGAGTATGTCATTACTGCACAGTTTATGGTCTTAGCAACCTTTTATACTTTGGTGAGACAGGTTGCAAAGTTATTGAGAGATTTTATGAAGAGAAAAGACACATCAATAACAGTAATATGAATGAGCCAGTCTCCTGACATTTGTTACAGTGACAAACATGATCTTTCACATCTCAGACTAGTTATTTTAAGATTGCTTCAGTTGAATGTGCCTCATGTGAATGCAAGGAACAACTCTTACTCATATCTGAGGAATCCTTTCCACACCAGCATTAAATAAAACATTTTCATTTAATGATCCCACCTAACTAATTGTTTATTTTCTTCTTGTTGTTTTGTGTGTGTGACCTGTAGTTTCATATCCATAAGAAGGAACTTTGCTTTCCATTATCTTGAAGTGTTTTGTATTTTTTATTCACACAGAGTTTATTAATTTATTATGTGTCATTTATTGATTTTACCATATTGTTTGTTTTGCCTATATAACAATATGTTAACTTGTATACAATAATTCTTTGTTTTTCATTTTATTATTGTCACTTGAACTTGTTTCTTGTGTAGTTTTTATAACAATTTTAGGCACTATCTGATGAAGGGCCTTGGTTTGAAATGCTGTCATTATTTATTTTTTTTTATAAATAAATTTTCTACAATACTAGTGTAATAGAAATGAACCATCAATGTAGTACTAGATATCATTTCTGTTGTATGTGAGTTTGTTGAGCTACTATATAGCTATTAAGGCATTATAATGCAACCGTCAGCCCTAATAATTTGAAAAGACTTGTCTAAGAGTTGGTAGTGTGTGCTGCCAGCCAGTTGCCTTCTTTCTGATTGGCAGTCCAAAGTTAGGAACAGTAAAAGGTAGCATAGTAGCTTTATCATAACAAAGAAACAAATATAATGCTTGATGACTGTATGAGTAGGCATTGCTGGTGCCAACAAGAATGGAACCTGTGAGTCATAAGGCAACCACCCTACTCACTAGGTCATTCCAGCATGAAGCTGAACAAACTTGAATTAATTGAAAAAATTATGAAAAGAAATCACAATTGTAATAATTTCATTATTTGGATAGTTGGAACAATTGATAACATATATTTTGAATAGTTGATTATTTTCATGTTACTAATTGATCCCTATAGATAATTGAGTTAATGCCCAAGTTTAATAATTGGTGGCGAGTAGCTAAGGTGAATGATGTTTTGGTGACCCAATTAAGCTATGAAAAAAAAATCAGTTACACAAGTAGTAGTATTTCTTCACTTATGGAAATGAAACAAATTGAGTTTTTAGAAAAGTATTATATCTTTGAATAACTGGGAATGAGCTACTACTATTATTTATATAGGATGTGGTATAATAAGCATCAACATAATTTAAGCCATACTTTTCTCATTTTAGTACATGGTGTCAAATGGATTTTTATTTTACTTTTTTCAGTTTACCAAGCATAACTACAGTTAACTAAGCCTGAGAGAAGCATTTTAGATTAACTACAGCTGAAATTTGAGATATACAATGAAAACTTTATGATGAAAAACTTAGAAACTAAAAAATATTTAAGAAATTATTATACTTCTAATTCTGAAGAAAACAAAGTACTTTTTTTTTTTTTTGACATGTTCAATGTAATGTTACGTCTCCGTTTGTTAATTAACTTTCCGTAACTTCGTTCGACGAAACTTTAGCGACACAAGTTCTTACTTAATAAAACTGGTTTATTCTTTCCGAATACAACTTTACGATACACTTAATTTCAATATTCGCGCTAAAACAAACACTATAACGAACGAACGTTAACTTCAACAATACCCTGTGACTGCAGTTCAATTACTCACTATCTACACGCACATTATTGTCCCGTCACGTTGTCACCCTTTTTTATATACCAGCCTACCCTATATCTAGTAAATACTAGAGCATTCGCCAAGGTACAGGATAGTTCTACAAAATAGGTGGCGCCACACCAGTCACGTGACCTCGATGACGCAACAGTATTTTACATTTATTTTTGTAGGTTTGAGAAGTTAAGCTGTGACGGTGAACCAAGATACTGCTTCGTAGGGTTTATGACTGTTTACAGGTATTATGCTTATCCAAATAAGAAGAGGCCTAGAATAAGGTAAGCAGTCTAATAGAAGCTTAAGTTTGGTTTCTCGAATTGCCTAGCATGATAATTTTTGCTTAGTTTTTATTTTCTGCATGAGCAGCACAAAGAATGGTTGGTCATTGATCAAAAACTTAAAACCCCTATCTGTGACCTGCAAATTGAATATCCCCTTGCTTATATTGATTGGACTTCAGTGTTATTACCATGTGAAAATATTATTCATAACTGTTGGCTGAGTACACAGAATGTGTTTACAATGTTATTCAAGTTTATCAGTATGTGTAACACACTGTATATTTTGTAAACAAAAATAGTTTACAGCTGAAGTGTTGGAAAAATGGACCCATAATTTATTTGCAAAGTTATTAATTCCTACAATTTTTTTATTCAAAACCTGACACTAAATTAAGTTTGTAATAAATCAAGGAAATCATTATTTTCACAGCCAAACTGAATGGTGTATTGGTATAAAATATAATTGTTTGTTTTTATATTAATTTTCTGACATAGCATGAGCTTGCTTTTATAGTATTCATTCTTTATATAATATTTAAAAATGTAGTGAACCCTTATAATTTACATATAACTACTACAAGAGATATCTTGTATATGATAAAAACACATTAATTCAACCATATGCTTTATACTGTATGTGTAATAACTAGTGACAATCGGTACTGTGAAAACATTAGAGCTTTTACTGTTAAATATGATTCTGTATTATAATACTGAGATCTTTATTATTTTTTACATTGACTAGTTTTCATCACTGAAACTGTTTTTTCACTGATTATAAAATGAATCAGATTGAAAGTAAAATAATATAACTAAACTAGCATTTGGAAGAAGTTAAATTTTCTTTTTTCCCAAAGTGATTGTGTGTGTATGTAAAATTAGACAATCTGACACATGTTTGACAGTTTATAGTAATTAATCTTACTACAATGGAAATAACGTGTATGTGTGTGTGTGTATATATATATATATATATATATGTGTGTGTGTGTGTGTGTGAATGTGATCTAAATAATAAATACAATGTGGCGCCATCTGTTGAATGGCACCACAAACAAAAATCCACAAAGAATGTCACACTTTGGGTATTCAAGATTCAGACAGTTAGAAAAATAACTATGGTATGTAGGTATGTGCAACAACCGTATCTTTATCACAAAATGGAGTTCTTAAAAAACTGTTACTCTTTCAATAAAGGGTATCATTTTTAATATATAAAAACATTACAGTTTATATCAGCACAATCCAGACACTATTCCCATCCAATACTTCCCAGAAAAATCCTTTTTTAGAAAATGATCACTTTTTCTAAATTTAATTCATTGAGTTATGAATACTACAATTAGTAATTACTAGTGCAAACAACTGCCCTATGGGCAGCATTTCTGCTACTAATATAGCAACTTTAATAAATTGTTCATAGTTTTCACATAGGATGTAATTTTTTTTTGAACTTCTAATAACTTGCAGCTAACTTTTTGCTGCTTTCTTTTTTAAAAGTCAGATGTTGGTTCTGCCACCTTTCCAGAAGAAAGGGCTTGGTGCTGAAATGTTACAGACAGTGTATAACTGGTATGTGAAAGATCCTGATGTTGTAGACATCACAGGTAAAGTAACATTTTACAAGTGTTATTAATAGTCTTTTGAGCTTTAATGGTAATGGTTTGTATTCTCTTTTTTATCATTTGATTTGGTGTCTAAATTCATTCACTGTGCACAAGTTAGTGAACAATGATTCCTCTACACTGTTTAATTGACACATCATGCAAATATAAGTTCAAGATGACACCAATCTTAAGTTATATGGCCAAACAAACAAAAAAATTGTTAAGGTAGGTAGGTAAGTGAATTTTTTCATTTTAATGGTTGACATACCATTTCTGTTTACTGTTTAAAGCACTGGTTGCTGTAATAAACCAAAGCAATCTTCAAAATTGTTTAAGTTAAAAATTTGTGTTATAGTTTTGAAAGTGTAAGTCTGTTTATCCAATATTTCTGACTGATTCTGTAAAGTGCTGCATTCTTTCATGTGCAAGCTAGTTACTTTCAACTTTATAATTAAACTTAAAGTGTAATAGAAAATAAAAGTAACTTAATCAATATCATTGAATAGCAAATTCGAAAATATTATTAACATTTTTATGCAAACCATGAAAAGTGATAACTCCCTCGTTAGTAGTGTTTACACTTTATTAGTTTAATTACTGAAGTATTTGTTTTAATCAGAAATAATATGCACTGTGTCAAACCATGTGAAATGTGATCAAATTTTGTTTTTGATTATTGCATATTTTAGTATTGGAGGAAACACTGAAGTTTATTACTTTGAGTTTACAGTAATTGGAAATATTTTTATAATACTACAAAGTGGAAAAGGTAAATTTAGTTTTAGCCTTATAAAACCTGGTGAAAGATATGCTGCTGTTTCAGTCTTTGCTTTAATAAAAATTAATAATTTGTGAAAGTCGCTATATGTGAAACACTTCAAACACATGGTCTGGTAACTGGAACCTTTTAAAATATAAATTTTATTTTTTATTACTTTATGATCCACTAGTAACATGGCTATTTACTGTGTCAGTGTGCATGACCCATATTATTATTATTGACCTGGAAAACTTTTCATACATATACTATAATTGGTCTAATGACCTCATCACTAAACCAATTTGTTGAAAAAATTGACTGAAGCATTAAAAATAATATAAATAGATAGTATATATATCTTGCTGTATTTTATCCATAAAAGGTATATATTACTTTCCTTTACTAATTTATGCACGTGGTCAAAAAAAGACTACAGTCTCTCTATCTTTGACTGAGGGGTAGAATACGTAACTAGTTTTCATGATGACCTTGAGTTAGAAATCTTGAGAGATCTTGTAAACAGAATTTTAGTTAAGCCAAGTCGGTTATTTCCGTGAAACAGTGGACAAAATAATTTGGTGGATTTGATTAACAGTTAGTAAATTTTGCTTAGCATCTGTATAACATTTAACATTTTAACACATTATGGCAACTAAATCCAGCACTAAAAGCCTTAATTTTTTTTAAAGACATCCACTAATAAAAAAAAAGAGGTAAATGGTATGTTTTTATTTTAATATCACTTTTATTCAGCTTCAAACCCTAATATTTAATTGTATCATACATGGCATTTCATGAACAAAGTAGTTCCTGGTATATAAAGTAAAACTGCAAGAAATACCAAACACCTCAGCTGTCAAAAAATAATACAACATTTGACTAACCAAAGAAAGACTTGAAGATATTGCAACTGAATAAGGTTGCCACAAATCGTTTTTCCAATTCATCTACTTGGGGTGTGTGTGTGAGCGTACGAGACCTCATCACTCTTTTGAAGAAGATAGTGTCTACTGACTTTTCAGTTGTAATTACCCCTCACCATAGGCATCCTTTACTGTGCATGCTTTTTGTTTGTTCACATAATACCATTAGTATAGCTTAAAATCGTAGCTAATAATTCATATTTTATAGTATATAATTTTTAAGTTCTTAATTTTATAAGGCAATATTTAAAAAAAAAGATCCTGAATTTCATTTAGTGTGAGAAGTGTGGCATTTTTTCTCTAGGCAAACCCTCTTCTCTAACTTATTTACCACCACTCCAAGAAGTACGAAATTTAACATAAATTACTGTCATCAGTCAGATAAAGCATAATTTTCATAGCCTTCAATTTTGTTTGGTTACAAGAGGCATCAAAGAGAAAATCAGACCCCTCTTGCCAGACCCATCTATCACATCCTCTCTTTCACGATTTGTCACTAGTTCTCTCCTACATTTAATACTATATTATTTTTAACCAATAGAAATCCAAGGTTTTCAGCTGTCAAATGACATATTCCCTTACATTATTTTCTGTACAGGAAAGTATTAATTTCTCTTTCAGTACAAGCTTTGTTCCCACGGGAAACACATTGACTAGCTTAGATGAAATTGTAACGGATCTTGTCGAATAGTTAGAAAACTAGAAAAATTGCGATAGTTACGGGACATTTTTTTAATTTGTAATTTGATAGTGTAACATGAGCTGCACATTCTCCAACTGATTTACAACTTACAATGGTGCAAATAGTACTAGTAGTTAGAAACTATTCAAAAGCAATAAAAACAATAAAATGTAAGTATAAATAAATGAATTTTGTTACAATTTGAAGTCATTCTCTTTTTTTGTTGTGTTGTGTTTTAGGTGGTTACAAGGTCGGTGATTTTGACCAACTTTGTAATGTTGTATTGAGTTAGCAGAGAGAAAAACAAAAAATTTACTAAAAAAATGTTTCAAATGTATTTAGGAGGTTTTAGAGATTACGCAAATGACATTTATGATTTTTAAGATAAAGAAAAGTATTGTAATTTTAACATGAACATCACTTTGCACTCATACTGGTCAAAAAAAAAGACTCGATATATTTACTGACAAACCTTTAGTGAAAATATTTTAACAGACTGATTTTCTGTGTACAAACAACTTGTAATGTTTACTAAATTCTGCCAAATTTCATGAAGATACGTATATTCTGTATAAAAAGTTAGCATTAAAACTATATACAAGTAAAAATGGTCACGTGGTTGGTCCATGGGGCCAAGCCTGTATTGAGAGGGTTAGTAACTGGCTCGTTGCTAGTGTAGTCTGGTCAGGTAGGCTACATGTGTTGATTGGGAGCATTTTAAACATCATGAATAGACTACTACAAAATGTATGTGTATGCGAGATGTGCATGACAAAGTATGAAAATACTGTATGTGCCGTTTGGTGGGAATGTCCGAGAAATGAACATCACCTGTGACTTTGGTATATCAAACTGATACATTGTGTCACTTTCACTGTGTTGTGGGAGGTCTCGAAAACAACATCGAATCAAAACAACCTTAGTTGCGAATCACATTCCTCTTTGCTTAGCATAATGTGCAAATCATTCGTTTCTCTTTTCAAGTTACGTTGCAAGCCCGGATATTTTGGCCCCTGCCATGAAATAAACAAATGTAGAAGAGAATTTATTAACCCTTTCACAACTAGTGGGTCAAAGTGCATGTGACACAACTGTTTACATAGTTACATTCAAAATTTAATTAAACTGCTGTATTATCAATGTATACAATTAAACTTGGCAGTCATTCTAGAATTTAGATTTATTTCCTAACTTTTTGTGGTGGTTATGAGGTTATTCTGAAAAAAAGTTTGATATTTATTTGGGAGGTTTTAGAGATTACACAAATGAAATTTGAAAATGTTCAGGTGAAGAAGAGTATTTTTAATCTTAAAATGAAAATCACTTTGCACTCGAAGCAGTCAACACTTGACTATATATTCATGGAAATTTCTTTAGTAAAAATACTTTTTTTTTGTTGATGTTGTTGTCTTTACTACAAGAGAAAATAAAACTTGCCAAATTTTGTAAAGATACATTAAGCACTTTCACTGAGTTTCGGTGTTATAGTATTTATACTTTCATGTTTACAAGCTCATATAAAATACAAAAATTTATTGCGAAAGGGGGGAGGTTAATTTATTATCATTCTGTAGCAAACAAATAATAGAGGACTGTTGCTTACTCACAAAAGCACTGTGTAACCTTGAGGAACTTTTAAACATATAAAGAAATTTTGTAACTTTACAATCAAATTTAAGTACACAAGGGAAGAAGGGGTCTTTATGGCAAACATGTTGCAAGAAAGAAAAAAATCCCAGTTTACAGACAATGGATTTATGACTTCATTATCTTTAGGAACTTGAAAATTACAAAAAAAAATGGATTGTTGAATTTTACAATTCTTGGAAGCATCAACTGCAAGGATTTGCTGTTTTCAAATTATTTAAGCTAAAAATAAGCCTCAATATGTTGTTTTTTAAAGTAATTTGAGATGTTTGATCACACATTTTCAAAATTAATTTCATTTTGTCCCTGTACAAACCTGAGATACCAGTCTGGAAAGATTAAGTAATTGTGAAGAATGGGGAATATCAATAGTTTAAATTTTTTATGACTATTTTAAGGGATTTTAGCATTGTATATTTTGTTACAATTGAAAATATGACTTTGTGTTGAACAAGGTTATAACATCTCCAATTGACGGGACCCCATCAATGTTAAACATGTTTGTCTTGCATTCTCAAGTTCAGTGTGAACAGAAATACTTAGTGTATATATGGGGCACAGATATCAGTATTCGTTTGTCATCACAATGATTGCATTTCTCAGTTGATACAATATGCATGAAAAACACCTTGGAACATCTCACACAATTATAATATGCTGCACTGTCTGTATTTTACTCTGCGATAAATTTAGGTCATACAAGGAGGTTCCTCTAACTTGATATCCTTCATGATGCACCCTGAATTAGTATTGGCACCATTTCACTTAAGTAATTGGAACCTTTTTTACGCCTAAATGTCATTAATAGTGATGTAAGAAAGAAACGTATGTGTTTATTTTGATTTTAAATTAGTCAGATTGCAGGGTCAGACAGTACACACAGTTTCATTGTTCTTAAAAGGAAATTTCAGTAGCTGGAAGTGTTTTGACATCAGTGGTTACTTCATTAGAAATTGTCATCTTATCTATTTCTAAGACAGCTATCATTAAAAATATATAATACTAGAGAATATGTCATCATAAAAATTAAAATATAAAATAAAACGGTTTAAACAGGGTAAAATTGTTTTATTAAAATGACAGTACTGCATTTCAGCAACATGTGGTTTTTGTTAAGTATAAACATTAAAGGTGTATTATTTTAAATTTTGATTAAACAAAGATTATTCAGTATTATCTTATAGACCACTTTGTATATTTATTTTATATTTAAATGACTGTTTGCTCTGGAAATTTTAAATATTTATTTAATTTCTTCTAGTGGAGGACCCATCAGAAGAGTTCACAAGGTTGCGAGATTTTGTTGATTCTAAGAATAGCTCAAAACTTACAAGTTTCCAGTCAGAAAATCTGTTGAAAGGTTTTAGTAAAGAAATGGTCAGTGAGGCTCAAGAAAACTTAAAAATCAATAAGGTATGATTGAAAACCTTTTTCTATGTATAATAGCTTGTTTTAGGTCATTATAAATAAATCTTGAAGGAATTGATGGCCTTATAAGTAGTTTCACAAACTACAAAAAAAGTAACTGTAGAAAAAGTTTTGTGATTGCTTGTTTGTATATATTTAAAAATTAGCAATGAATCTTTTTCATAAAATTTAGTTTTGTTTAGAAACATAATTTTTTCTTGATGAACAAATCTTTAAGTAATATTACTTCATTCTTTGCCTTTGTATCATAGCAAGAATAACTACTTTGAGAAAGCATGCTTTCTGTGCATTTGTACTGCATATTCTAGGACAGTAGTTGCAATGGTAATGTTCTTTCTGTCATTACATTTCACTACTAAAAAATGTTAACATGGAGAGTTCTAATGTTTTAAAGCGTTGATTGGCCTAAGACAGCAGTTGACAACCCTTCAAAGAAGATCATCCTTTTTTGTTTTTGTCTAAGACCAAAACATTTTGAGAGCCAAAACATACCCTAACAGCTGGTTTAATGTTATGTTGCACTTCCAACTACCTACTGCGGCCTCAGCAAATCTGTTTACATTTCACATTTAAGTTCTAATTGGTTGATTATGTTACATTGGCAATAAAAGCTTTGGAATGTGAATGTACAATAGAAGTGGATGTGAAGTGCAACTGTATCCTGTTTCTCTTTTAAAAAATAAAAAATGTACAAAGAAATCTGATATTATTATTCTGTCTGTATGCCTGATTGAATCTTTAATTTTTTTTCTTCTGAAAAATGTGAATTTATGCTTTTTATTTTGAGGGGAAATACATATAATGAGCCATATGTAATTATGCAAAGAGCTGCATATGGCTTGTGAGCTGCAAGCTGACCCCTGGCCTAAGATTTTAAAAGCTAGTGAATTCATAAAAGTACACACAGAAGAGGTGTATTATACTGTCACAAAATTGGCTTATTTTTAAGATTAGCTCACAATCATCATAAAGGTATTTATTTAAAATAATAAAATTAGATATAAATGTCATCAGAAATAAATCCTTAAAATTTTTTCTGTTTTTCTGAATACAATTTCAATTTGCTTTAAATACCACTGTATGGTATGACATGACTGTTCACTTGAGATTGTTCCAAAGGTTTTATTTCTTTACAACAGAAGCAAACAAGAAAGGTCTATGAAATTCTTAGACTACAAGCTACAAACACAGCTGATGTGGAACAGTACAGAGCATATCGCTTAGATGTCAAAAACAGGTTAAACTTACCATATCAGGTGAGTGATTTTCCATTTCCTGAACTGAGCTGATTTTATGTTAAAATGGTTTTACTCTTCAAAGCATCTGAGTCCTTAAAAGTTATAACTATTACATTCATTTTCCTTTTCTTGAAATATTTTTATATTTCACAATAGAATTTTATGAGCTTGTTAATTTAGTTCAATAGCAGTGACATTTTTATTATCCGTTTTTAAAATTTATTTCTATTCTGTTGTGAAATTAAGTGAATAGAAATTAAACAATGCATAATTTAAGTAACATGTACAATAAAATCATGTTAACATGCAAAAACGTCAATACTGTTTTTGTTTTTTTCAAAAAATATCAGAAACAACAGGCAGATCTGGCAAAATTGAAAAAGACCTTGCGACCTGAAGAACTGCGTGCAGCTCTACAATGTACAAACAAAGAGCAACGAATTGAACACCTAGAAAAACAGTACCGTGAAGTAGAAGATGAGTACAGACACGTGTTAGAAAGGCTTGCAGCATCAAGCTCAAGTTGACAAACCCTGTAACATCAATTGGCAATTCCCTCAAACAATTGATTGACTTTTGTGTCCAACTATTATCAATTTAATTTTCTTTTTGATAGTATAATAGCTTTTTAGCATTGCACACAGAACAACTTGTTAATAAAGTTACCAGTTGTCATTGTTAACTTTTTTGGTGTAGGCATTTTTTTTTACCAAGGTTATAGTCTATGCTTACATGATATTAATTAAAGTAAGTTATGCACAAAACCATCTTCAGCTTTTGGAGTTGTTTTTACCTTTTATGTAGACATTGAGAAGCTAGTAAGGTCAATTTTATTGTTTAAAATTTTGTTACGACATAAATTATTTCATACTCTGGTGAGTGGGGTTTTGAAGAATAAGTACTATCAACAAAATATTGGAGATCAAGAGTAAGGATGGGGGGTTATGTCAGTAAATAATTAGTATTGAGAAGAAAAAAAAAGACGTATATTGTTTTTACTGCTAACCCCATGAAACTGGGAATGTTATGTTTTTTTCCTGACTTAGGCAAACGTTTGAAAAGTTTCACTGTGAAGTTTGCTGTTTTTTTGTTGAATAGTTTTAAATAGTGTAGAATAAGCTAATGAAGAGTCAGACCTCATATATGGATCTTCAAAGTTAGGGTATGATAGCCTAATGACTTTTTTATTAGTATAAAAACATTTGAAAATGGTTGGGAATGCATGCTATAGATGCCTGTTGTGGAGGAATTTCTGCAGTACTTTTAAACTGAGTTTTTCAATTAGGGATTTTACTTTTAACTTACTGATCATCTATAAGTAGGAAATAAGACTCAAAGAACACCGAGGTCACATGTGTAGAGGTGAATTTAACACATCATCAGTTTGAAACAAATCACAAAATACAGTATGGTCCAAAATTACCTTTCCTAATTTAAAATTTAATAACTAGCTGGCCAAGGACATACAACCATTCAGTTTTCAACATCTTGTAACACAACTCTAACATTTTATTGACATGTCAGTAGACTCCTACATGTGCGCCATTAGATGCTCTCGGCACGACTGACCGATATTTGATTTCAGTCCACGTTCGTGACAACATGTCCACAGTTACGGTGGCGTACATTATCCTGGTCTTTAGCTCCATAATATATGCTATAGGTGTGTGATACACGATAACCTTAACATACTGCATACTTCTTTCCTGTACTGGCGTTTGTAATTACGCTGACCACAGTCTCTGACTTTGCCTCTGCAAGCCAAACGACACATAGGGCCTTTACTTGTACGGTTGTCATTTTATGGGGTAATACTTGTCACTAGAATGAAAATAATCACTTTGATTTGGGCTACAAGATGTTGAAAACTGCATGATTTATTTCCTCAATTATTAAGTTTTAAAATAGAAAAGATAATTTTAGACCACTCTTTACTTTGGAATGGATTTCTTATCATATACTCACCCACGGCTTTTCCTAACACCTACAAAGCTGAGAAGCCGTACAGAAACCTCCCACGTCATTCACTGCACCTTCACCTACTAACCAGATGAGACAAACCTCAACCACACAAACCCAGACGTCTTCTATCGACCACCTTTCATCCAACTCGCCATCCTCCCTGCAGATTGACACCTCCGCCGCCACATTATGAAGTTATAGACGAGCTCCGCGACAATTTCTCTTTCTTCCGTCACCTCTCCACCAGTGAAGATGAAGACTCGCACCCTAACAGATTTACTTTCAGCCAACCAACTTCCTTCAGACGTATTTTCGCTAAGAAATCCCTGCTACACTAATTAACCATTACGCCTATTACTCCTTTCTCCTTCTTCATTTTGCCCTAACACCATCTAGGATTAATCGAGCACTGGGTTTATAGATCCCCGCCGCCCTGAAGAACTATAAGTCCGATAATGGCCGTAAGTTAGAGTAGATACCACATACGAACAACACGTTATTTGCGTATAGCCCATCACGAGCGGGACGAAGAGGAACAGTCGTTTCTGAGCGCCCAAGGTTTCCATTGTGATGGTGTTTATGTTACAGATCATACCTGAGGAGGACAGATCAATGTTCTGTTGAGACATTTAGTATGTTCCACCATTAATAAAACTCTACCTTATTCTTATAAATCGTTGTTTGCCAACCTATTATTAAATCAGCATAAAATGGGCTTCTTTACTCAAGTATTGCCCAAATAGTACAATTTCACGGAAGTTGCAGTCAGAAATCGTAAAAAATAAAAATTTCGTGTCAAATAAAATTCCGCGTCGAATGTTATCCATTTCCCCGTTTTAAGATTTTGTTTTCGGTTACGTTTGGAAGGCACTTTTGTGTGTGTGTGAGAATTATTTAAACGCTGTGGTGCTTGTGTTACTTTAGAACTTTATCGTTTTACCTTTTCTAATACATTTACAAATTTTTGTTATTGGTTTTAAAAACACGGTGCACTGGATATTTAATAAAATTAGTAAAAAAAAAAAAATCTAACTTCAAACATTAGTTAATGGCGTGACTGATTTTGCAAGAACATTTCATGAATCACACCTAAATACATTGCCGCCCAAAGAAATCTTCGGGCCCTAGACAATAGGACTTTCCTTGTAAGCCACCTCAAAACTCCCCTTTTCACGAAAATACCCCTTCCTTTTTTTTTCTTTTTCTTCTCATTGATCATGGAATAGTTCAACAAAATCAGCACACCAGGGAAGTTTATATATTGACGAGACAAGGATGGCTGGCCAACCAGAGTAACTCTGCTGTCTAAATATCTGTGAAATAACATTTAAACTAAAAGTTGTAAATAACTAATGCAATCCAATAAAATATGAAAGGCATTTATGGGATCTCAGATATTTTTCACAAGCCCCAGCCATACGTTTTATAATTAAAAGTTTTATATATTTATATGCCTTTTTAGTGTAGTAATTTCTTTCTGTGACTTAGCATCAGCTAAGCCTTCTTGGTTTGTGAAGATATTATTAAATCCTTTTCTTTAACATGCTTTAAGTCCGTAATAAAAGAATTTGTGAACCTTTTAATTGCAGCATATTCCATTTTCCATAGAAAATAACTAAAAGAATAAACTTGGCCTTGTTCTAAACAGCTAAGCCACGCTTCACAATAAAGTCATATTATTTAGTGGAAATAAACGGTTCTATATTGTACATCAGGCATTTTAGAAATCTGTGTTTTCAAAAGCTGTTTAATGTAGTTCATATCCCATACGGGGGGGGGGGTCGTCATTTCAATAGGGGAGGACAACTCTTGGCTTTTTAAAAGCAAAAATGTAAACAAAATCAATTTATTTGGAGAACAGTTGCTCTGAGTATTCCCTATACTGTTTAACCATTCAAATAGTTCAAATTACCCATTATATATATATATATTGTTCTCAAAATATCGCCCCTCCCCCGTGGCACTGTTTGGGTGTTTTATGACAAGGCCACGTCGGGCTATCTGCTATGTCAACCGACACTCCCACCCATCCCCCAGTGGCACAGGAGCATACCTGTGGTGGACAGAGCGCAGATAGCCCATTGTGTAGCTTTCTGCTTAACTACAAACAAACAAAATATAAATAATATCCTACATAAATTGTCACATCACCTTAGTAGTTCCCGTTTTTCATGAACTTGTAATGCAGAGACTCAATTATGTAATTTTACTAAAACCTAACGGAAAAAAAAATCAAATAAAGATAAAGAATATTTTAAATAAAGGGAATTACTCTGTCAACAGCACTGTAAAAGTTCTTTATTATCGAATAAACAGTGTTATTTGTACTGTTACAACGTTTCACCAGGTTAATTAACCTGTCCTCAAGTACAATGAGTGACTCACGGATATCAAGACACACACACGGTAGTGTGTCGTACGGCCAGAACAACCTGCAGGATACAATGTGTGCTATTAACAACAGTGATAGTTTAGCGATTTTCCACCTTTTTTATTTCGGACTATGGTAATTCAAACTGTCACATGTTTTCAGTGATGTCCTCTACTGGACTCTTACTTAACATACCAAATTTCAAGACAATCCATTAAGAAATACACAAGATATAGAATCTCGAATTTTGATAAAAAAAAATTTCCTTTGCACCGAACATTTGTTTGTAATTACGCACAAAGCTACACAATGGGATATCTGTACTCTGCCCACCACGGGTATCGAAACCCGGATTCTAGCGTTGTAATTCCGCAGACATACCGCTGTGCCACTGGGGGGGGGGGGAGTGCACCGAAAGTACGAAAAATTTATTTGATAGGAAAACATCCTTAACTTTTATGGATTTGTTTTTTCAAATTTGGTACACAAATAGGTCTTTACAACCTACAATTACTTGTCAAATTTGATCTAAAGATACGCCACGTGTGCATAGTTATTGAACAAAAACCGCTCAAATTTGACCAAAATGTTTGCGCAAACCTACGCAAAAAATTGCGGGAGCTATTGGCCTGAAATTTTTACTACAGCTTCACCTAAGAGTAACAGTGGACTGTTTTTAGTTCATTCGGATTAAAGACGACTGATTTAGAGCTGCAAAACTATTGGGTGAAATGACGTACAGATACATAAGTAAGTATTGGTTAGGCCAAGCAAATTAGATTACAAGTTTCTAGCTCAAGTTTTCAAAAAAATTTTACGGGTGGACGGTTATTATTCATTGCCAACTTTTAAGCACAAATTTGCTAAGTTTTATTAAATTATCCTAACTAAAATGCGTTTATCGTCACGTGATATTAGCTTAAGCAATTAGTGTAAATAATGATGCTTGATACGGCTGTACCGAGTGTATGCTGGTGATGACAAGAAACTATTAATCTAGATTCCATGGCGTTACTATAAAGGAAGTTATTAACACTGTTTTAGAAAGGAGAAACTGCCACTATATATTTTTAAAGAATCTGGTTGGTTCTGTAAAATAAAGGTCTGTTCTGAATAATAGGGTTGCGATCCTAAAGCTAATGTGGGTTATTATCGAGTTTCACTTTCTTATTTGGTGTGTATTGACAAAAAATCATGATATCTAATCAAAAACACATTAGGTGTGAAAAAAAAAGGGTTGACCTTGCGACTTGAAGAAATGAAGTAAAAATTGGCGACCAAACTAGTAGCTACACTTGTAACATTGACCGCGTATTTTGTTATACCCACCATCATGTCCAAAATTGAAC